TCAAAAAACAAGATGAATGGAAGATTGCATTTCAAACCAAGTACAGATATTTTGAATATAATGTCATATCTTTTGCACTTATAAATACACTAGTACCTTTTCAACATCTTATGAATGATGTTTATGAGAGTTTTTGGATGATTTTGTTATCTATTATCTAGACAACATCTTGATCTATTCTAAGAACACAAAAGAATATGAACTTTATGTTTGTCGTGTGTTACAAAAATTAAGAGATGTGAGATTAAATACCAAGATAAAAAAGTGTGTATTCTATACTATTCAAGTTGACTTCTTAGATTACATCATTTCAAACAATGAATTTATAATGGATCCTAAGAAAGTTCAAACTATTATGAATTGAAAGATGCCAAAAATGGTCCGAGATGCTCAATGCTCAATTGGAATTTGTCAATTACTATGGAATCTTCATCAAGGATTTCTTTCAAATTGCAGCTCTATTTCCACGTTTGACTTGTAAAGACAAACTTCAATAGAATCAAGAAGTGGAAGCAACATTTGAAGCTTTAAAGACAACTTTTTTTTATATACCAATCTTATATTATATTGACTTTTCTAATGCATTCTTTATGAAAATAGATGCATTGGACTTTGCTTTGGATGTTGTATAATCACAAATGGAAATAGATAATAAACTTCATCTAGTAGCTTTTCATTCTAGGAAATTTTCAGCAGTTGAGATTAACTATGAAATCCAAAATAAAGAACTTCTTACAATTATGGATTCTTTCTAAGAATGGCGTTATTATCTAGAATACGCTTCTAGTTCAGTCACTATATATATGAATCACAAGAACCTTGAGTATTTCATATCAATTCATATTTTGAATCGTCACCAAGCTCGTTGAAGTATGTCTTTGTCAAGATTTGAATTCAATATCACTTATCAGCCAAGAAAATAACAAGGTTTGTCTAATGCCTTTTCTAAACATTCTTATCTTGTATTTAAAGAAAGAAATGCAGCTTTTGATCAACAAAGGATAATTTTATTGAAGCCAAAATAATTTCATCTTTGAGTAGTAAAATCAACAATGACTTTTGATTTAATTTTTTTCAACAAATTCAATCAAATATGTCCTCTTATTTTTTTATTCATGTTATAAAGAATATTCTTTCTAAGTCTCATGATACTTCTAAGTTTGAGTTCAAGAATAACCTACTTTATTTTGAAGGACACTTATATATTCCAAAAAGAGAAGCACGTTTACATGTTCTTCAAGCATGTCATGACTTTTCAACAACATGACATTTTGGATACAACAAGACTCTGGAGCTAATATCTAGAGATTTTTGGTGGCTCCAAATGTAGAAGGTTGTAAAAGACTTTGTTCAATTGTGTGATATTTTTTCAAGGTCAAAAACTCCTCGGCATCGATTTTATGGACTTCTTCAACCATTACCTATTCCAAAACAACCATAGTCTTCTATTTCTATGGATTTTATTATAGATCTTTTAATCTCAGGATCGTACAATTTTATGTTTGTGATAGTAGATTATTTTACTAAAATAACACATTTTGTACCATGTATAAAATTTATCATACGTGAAGAAACTAGCAAGTTTTTTCTTAGTAATATCTATTGATATCATAGATTGCCAAAAGATATTATATCAAATAGAAGAACCTCAATTTGTATGAAGATTTTAGAAAATTATTTTTAAGATTTTGAAGGTCGACATAAATCTTTCTTTGGCCTTTTATCATCAAAATAATAGATAGACAGAGCATGTAAACGAAGTTTTGGAGTAATACTTAAGGTGTACCATGAATTATCAATAAGATGATTGGAAAACCTTCTTGCCATTGGTAGAGTTAGCTTATAATAATATGATGCATTCTTCTATGCAACAAATACCTTTCTTTGCCAATTATAGTTACCATCCATGACTTGATACTTTTGACTTTTTAAAAGTTAATAATCCTCCAGCAAAAATTTTGGCAAATCATTTGTCAAAGCTACATGTAATAATGAAGGTGCAATTAAAAAAAGCTCAAGAACAACAAAAGATAAACAAGGATGCCTATCGAAAGGAATAACTACAATTCAATGTAGGTGACAAGGTATGGTTGATTTGTCATAATATCAAGACTACTCATCTTTGTGATAAGTTAGACTATTGTAGGCTTAGATCTTTTCTATTTTTAGATAAATCAAATCAGTTGCTTATCGATTACATCTATTGGATGTAATGAAGATCTATCCTATCTTCTACATATCTCTTTTTGAACCATATTAGACTATGAATATACTAAGAAGAAGATAAGTTCCACCTATTCCTATAGAAGTGGATAATAATGAAGAGTTCAAAGTGGAAGAAGTTTTAGACTTAAGGTGATGCCAAAATAAATTAAAATATCTTATCAATTAGCATGGATATGATATTAGTAAATACACATGGAAGCTAGTAAAGAATCTTACAAATACAACAAAGGTAGTAGATGCTTTTCATCAATGACATCTTTTAAAACTAAGATGAAGAATAATAAGTCTTTGCTATAAAAGAAATATAGTCCAAAGAAGATTATATTCTATCTTCTATCTTTTTTTGTAGCTTTTGTGTATTTTTGATATTAAGGAGATGGAGAACCAAAAATTAGCAGATTTAACTCAAGAGCTTTCATTTGTGGACTTATTAGACAAGACATTGACATTGTCACAACCTTCAAGTCAAAGAAATTGAGATAAAGATCTTCAAGAAAAACATGTCCTTCTTCAAATAGATGGGAAGATATAATATGTTTGATATCATGACCTTGGAAGAGACTTTCGATGTTGGATGATTTTATTAGAAATAAAAACAATTCTTGATGGTGTTTCAAATGTTTTATTTGAAAAAAGTTATAATGGCCTCAACAATGACTAAATGACATGGTGGTCTTCTTGTCCTAGTATGGGACACTATTGATGGCTAAGAGGTCCTATCAACTATCTTTGAAGACAACAAAGATCGGAGCATATGATAAATACAATTTGTTGCATCTTGGATTTCTTCAATATATGAAGAGAGCTCCTCATTGAACTCGTCTCTAGAAGGGGAAGTAATATCATGAACATAAATATGTAAACCAATAATTACCTATATGATTAGATAAAAGTAGATTAAAGTAGATTAATTCCATAATATCTTCTAGAGAAGCTTCATAGATACTACTTTGACTTTATAAGTATCTATAATTGACTTTTTAGATTAGAAACATGGTCAATAAGTTGGTCATATACCATATATATATATATTGGTAGCTTGAAGCACAAACTAACTATGTAGGCCACTTGTAGAAAACTTACTTTGTAAGCTAAGACATATGTCCTGTAAAGTCAACACAAATTAGAGATCCTGTAGAATATCGCCACATAGCTTCTAATTAGATAGTATATATAGAGACAAGAATGAAGCCCTCTTCACTCTTATCAACTCCTTTCTTGCTTCTAGTCTAGATTCAACAGTCTCTAGTTTCTTTGTCTTTTCGCAATAGCTATTTCAGCTTCTTTTTAATATATATATTACTTTATTTCTATTTTGCCATTTTTCTTTTGACAAAGATTTCCAATTTTATGCATCATCTTCTAGTTCATATCATTGACAATATCTTCTGGCATATATCTACTAAATGCACTTTAAATAGGAGCCTATTTTTATGGAAGCTTAATTTAATAGTTAAGCTATTATTACTTATACCAAAGTCTATATTATGCTATCCAACTACAACAAACAATAATTTGTAAGATGTTATCTTAATTTTTGATATGAAAGTTTTATCTCTTTCAGTATATAAGTTTTTTTATTTCTATTTCTATGAATAGTAAAATACTAAGATTCTAAAATAAAATAAAAAAATAGATATATTTTAGAGTCTAACTAACTATTTGAAAATCTTTCATTGATTATTAGAATGTTAATTGGTACAACTTTCTAAAAAATTATAAAAAAATTACTAAATCTTGAATAAGAAAAATTATACTATATATTAAAATAAATTATATTTTTATATAATAAAATAAATATGTATTTTTTAAGGTTTGTATCTCTTACTACTTTTCATAGCCTTAAATAGTTTCTTAGTATAAAAAACTAACATCTCAATATAAAGAACAAAAGGATCAAACATGTTTTATTATAATATATATATATATATATATATATATATATATATTTGGAAGCACAAATCTCCATGATATATGTATTGGCAATGATTTTTTTTTTTTAATTGTTTACTATATGAGGATGTATAGGAGGATGTAAGCCAAGCCAATTCCAATTGTGAGTCCATCAATGGACATTAATCTAAAGTTATCAAAAAAATCTGAACAAAATTTGTTTCTCTACTTACAAGTGACATTTAGAACTTCAAAAAATTGTTATATTTACTAATATATACATGTTAATAAGTATAGAATTACCTTTAAGTAATTACAAATTAATTATAACTATTCTCCATAAGATAATAAGTGAGTCACTTAATCGACTCACTGCTGAGTTGGGTACAAAATAAAATATACTTGTGGTACTTAAAGTCACTATTATCTCATAATAAATTCTGAGATATAGCAAATAACAGATTGTTAGTTGCAATGATGGTCTCTTATAGAATTTTTTAAAAGAAATTCCAAAATAGATATTTCTCCTTAAGTTATTTAACATAAATTTGTGGTTTTTTAGTAGTAGTTTCTATTTTTATTAAATATTTAAATTAGGCTAGAAGTTGAGGTAGAATCCTTGATTCAAAATATCCCAAAAAGAATTAGAATAATAATAATAATAATAATAATAATGGATAATCACCTTGGTAGTTTTAGACTAATAATAATAAAAAAAATAAGAAAATAAAAAAATGGAATTGGAAATAAAATAAATTAAAGTTGAGAGTAGAGAGAGAAAAAGAAAGCAGAAAGAAGGAGTAGAAAAATAACAATAATAATAATGAGAATAGAGGATGAGGAGAGGGACGAGAGGCTACCCCTCAACCCTGACAGTCTGTTTTGTGGATAGGGGTCCAGGCCACCCCGGATCCCTCCATCCTTCTTTCTTTTTTCCGATTATGTTTCATGAGGAATTTGGCTCTGACGGTGTGGATTTTTTCTTGTGGTTTTATGATAGTGTGTTGCTACCGCGGCAGCGTTGAAGATCATAATTGTTGTTTGACTTCATGCTTTCCCTCCAGCGCGAAAGTGCTAGATTGTGTGATTCCAATGCGGTAGAGGTCCGGCATGTGTGTGTGTGTGTGTTTTTTTATTCCCAACGTGGTCTTCCAATGGTGGCAGCTAGTGTTGTTTTCAATTTGAGTGCTGCGATAGTGCGGAAGTGCCATCTTATTGTTTTTCCTCTATGTGCGGCAAAATGTTGTGGGCAGCGTGGAGTGCCTGCTTTAGGTGGCTTCGACAGTCGGTTACTAGAGAAGCTAACTTGAAGTTTGGTAAACGATGGTAGTGGTTTTTGCAGGCTTGATTATTAAGCATCAAATGTGGCCGATCTAGCGTAATTTTTTTGTTCTAATGGAGAGCCATTCACACCCTCACACTTCGTCGCCAATTTCTTCTCCGCGTATTGCATTGCTCAGCAGCACCAAGATCTATCGAGCATCGTCTCTTTGACATCTCTCGGCCATCTTCCACTTCATCAGCTTGGAATTGCGGAGTGGAGTTGTAGCAAGTTCATTGTAAAGTATTGGAAAGCAAGAAAGTGAGCTCTAGCATCAAGACTTGCGGAACCCTTATCACCCATTCGTGGCGTGTACCTGTTTTGATTCAGTTTTGGTGCGCTGAGTATACGTTGAGTTTTGAAGTTCTAGTCAAGAGGCAGAGAAGTCTGCGCTTTGAATGCTCGTTGCAAGATTGCAGAGCAGCAGAATTCAAGGTATCATTTTCAGAACGTTGTTAGCAGTACATTCAATTTCCAACTTCAGAAGGAAAGGTTACTGTTATGAGCGGCGGTGGAGATCTTCTTATTTTTCCAGTTGACGTTAGGACGGCGTGGTGCGGCGCTGATCTAGTGCTTAGATCATTGTAGGTAGAGCTCCAAAGATTGGAGCGAGGGGCAACATTGGAGCAACGTCGATGCTAGCTGGAAAGTACAGAGATCTACTCTGATCGAGATCGTGAACAAAAGGCAGTCTATTTTTTTAAAAGTGGCGTCTAGTCTCAATTCAAGCATGGCTAGATCTCCTCAGTGTTATGTTAGGCTAGGAAGAATGTTGCAAGAGTGTGACTTCCTGTAAATGATCTTGATTGAGGCTCTCGAGAGAGGATTTTATTCCAATATGGATGTAGAGCAGAGAACTAAGGTTGGTTGAGATGAATCTTGAGGATGAGTTATTTGCATCCGTCGAGAATGCTAAGAGTTTGATGGCGAATTAGAATTCTGTGTCCTGCGCTAGAAGCTAGTGCTTCAATTTACAAGGTTCAAGGACCAGCATTTTGTGTAAACATATGAATCTGTGAAGAACAACCATGGTAGAGGAGCAACCGCTTGTGTGGACGGAAATCTGCTGTCTCGTGCCTACAGCTACATTGCGTGTGGTGCAGCTTGGCGTTGATCGTGGGCAGGGTGGTAGAGTCAACTCACAACACATCGACCAAAAGCAGACCAATTTTGATCCAGTGAGGTTTTTGGATAGATGAAGCTAGATTAGGTCGATTGAAGTAGACTTGAAAATAATAGGTTAGAAGAATTTTAGGTCAAAACAAATGATTTCTATATGGATGAAAAAATTAATGGATTGGATTAATTTTTAATATGGATGAATTTTTAATATAGATTGATTTTTTAATACGGATGAAATTTGAGTTTAAATGAACATACGTTGGATGATAAATTATTCATGGGTGAGATGTTATTTGCAGATGAAAACTTATACTTTGATGATTTTTTTGTCAATAGATAAGAATTAATAAAAAAAATATAAAATCAAATTAATAAATAATAAATAAAAATAAATAATAATTAAATTAAGAATTAAAAGATGGAATTTTTGGGTATGTATTTTGTGGAAGAATTATTATTATAAGTGTGAATTACTAGTAGAAGTTGGTCTTAATTACTTTGTGTTTAAGAAGATTAAAGAGAGATTTAATTAGGATTTAAATAAGAATTACAACTTTAAAAAAATTGCATAGTTAATTCACTTGTTGTGAACTAGGATAAATATCCAAGTATTAGAGGCTCATTTATTTCACGCTTGGGTGATTTAAAGAGGTTAAGAGTGAATTGACTATAATTAAAATAAAAACTAGAATTTCTAATTTTTTTTGTAACCAATTTACTTGTTGTGAATTAGAATAAACTTCCAACTAGAAGAGGTTTATTTTAGCTCATACAATATAAAAATCTTGTATTATTATAATGTAATTAAGTTATTTTATTAATATACTTTATACTTTATTTTATCATTTTTAATATTTTTTCTCCTATATGGTATCAAAGTACTAATTTTTCCTTCATTTTCTTTAGTATAAGTGGAAAACTTCATCCACTATATCTTCTTATAATATTTCTTACTTTCCATTAATACCTTTGTTGTTTGCAAATAAACATTACACTTGGAGTATTAAATTAGAGGGTCTATTGAGTTGGGTGGAATTATGGAGAGTAATTAATGGCATTAAAGCTACATCCAATATCAGCAATTTGGTACAACATCATGCTTGGAGTTTGAAGGATATAAAAGTGCGTGCCAAAATACTTTTGCATTGTAGAGATAAACAATTCATAACATTATACAGATTATCTACATCAAAGGTAATTTGGAATTACATCAAGCATATTTACAAATAATCAAAAAAAATATATCATTTATATTTCCATAAGTAGTTTTGTTATTTCACAATAGACAAGAATAAAGATGTTCATGCATTCATTGAAAATTGGCAATACATCTTTGAAGAAGCTGCCATTGTTGGTGGTGTTTTTACTAAATTACAATAAGTTAATGTATTATTAGCTGCTCTTTGCAATTCATAGAGTGCATATATTACCATCTAAGGTAGAATTAGTAATTTATCTTTTTCAACATTATTCTTTAATATATTATAATAAATAGCTATTAATTATTTAAAATATAAAAATTCAAAAATTAGTATATTTTATGTAAAAGGAAAATTTTGTTAAGAATATTAGATCCTAATATACTCCAAAATCAAATAATAACTCCTCTCAATAACATTATTCTAAATCATCCACTTGTAATAAATTTTTATTTATTAAAATTTATTGAATTTGACCTACCTTCGTCCATACAATTTTTTATCTAATGGAGTTTAATTTTATCATCAATTTCCATCCATAATAGCTAACTAATGGACTTACAATATCATCCAAGTAAGAACCAAATGTAGTTGGCACTTCTAAATCTATTGCTACACCTACCTTCACAATTTAACATACTACATTTGATTACAAGCTTCAAATTGAACTCAACTTGCCTTATTAGAAAGAAGACTTAAAGTCTCATCTACCTTCTAAATTTCTCTTTCCAATTTGGTTGTCTGACTCTAACATTGCCCCTTACAATTGATGCTTTAATTTGGAAAGGCAACAAACCTCTTTCTACAAAATTGAGTGCCACGACTTAGTCCTTGATTTTTTTTTAGAAAATCTAAGCTTGATAAAATCTTAACTCTAAATGGCACCTTCTTCTAAAATTTAAGATCTTAATCTATCTCAATTCTCATAATTTTGTCCTCCAAAGTTGCACCTTCACTCCATCTCTTGAATTTCGAGATAACAAATCTCCTTCTACAAAAATCAACACTCCTACTATGGCCCAACTCTAAAATAATTGATTATTAGCTTTTTAGAAACTGCACTTCATAAAATCTTTGAAAAAATAATTCTTATTACTTTAGAACTTATCAACAATGAAAAAGAGCCTTCTAAAATAGAGCTACCAAATTGTGAAGGCAAAATATCACTCTTCACTAATTAAGAATTTTTTTTTTCATAAAAACTCTAAATTCTAAGATTTTTATGCCTACAAAACCAAAACAAAAATTTCTACTTCCATCTAAAATTTTAGAAACTTATTCCAAAAACTAAAAGAGACAAACTAGAACAATATGCCACTTATAAAATCTAGAAAAAAATTAGTATGGCTATGCCTATCAACAAAAGAAAGAAAGAAAGAAAGAAAGAGGACTTGGCCACCTAATCCTTTATATAAGTATTTGAAGTTATAAAAATGGCATCCACATCTCTAGCATTTAGATTCCATGAACTTAATCAAGATCTACAATTTATAAGGTTTCTTATATCTAAATCCGATTATAGAATCGAAGCTCTTATAACTATCAAATTAATATATTTTTGGTAAAAATAATGTCATCATTGTATTCAAAATACATTTTTATTTCAAATTTTCCTCCTTTCTTGTCCAAATCTATGCTAAAATATAATAATTATATAATTTTAAAGAATTATGCTCGAAAGCTAATTGACTATTTAAATATTAGAAGTTAGTCATCAATTGGTATTACAATTTTAACAAAGAACTTATGGAACTTATGGAACTTATAGAATTCATTGTTTTTTAATCTTCAAACAAAATAATCTATATTTTTTAGGTACAAGAGTTTTATCAATACTCTCTTTACTTTACATACATGACAATAACCATTTTTTCTTGATGTCTACCAATGACACCTCCCAATGGTCAACAAACATTCTTTCTCTTTCCAATTGTAATCTACACTTTATTTTTGGTCATCCTCGACCATATATTAAAATTACCAATAAAAAGTTGATTGCAAATTGTTTACTCTTTAGCCTTATTATTGGTGATTCAGGCTTGATTGTCGCTCAAGAATTGATTGATGATTGTCCTCACCTTACAATTGCCAAATCTAAGCGACTATTAATTGTAAGTACTTCCTCGGATCCATTGACCAATAAACTTGTCACCTTATTTTTATTCCTAAGTACTCAACTTAGCCACTTTTTCTATGCTAGTTAACAATCATGCCTTAACCACATGTTTGAGTGCTTCTCTCGTCAAACCTTGGCAATTGCTTAGGCCATACTACCTACAATAACTCTACTATCAATAGCAATAATGCATCAAATCAGCAATCTCAATTGGAGTATCAATAGCTCTTTACTATCACACAAGATGTTTATAATGTTCTCTTTATATTAGATGAATAGTCTAATCCTTGACTATACTTTATCATTTTTGTTAAATCTTGACTTAGTCGCAACAATTCTCAGTTCTTCCTAACCACGACAATTTTATTTTTCATGTTTTACGGCAATTTCTTAATACATGCTCATAAGGCGGCCTGCATTAATGCTAATTTTTTGTGAATCTACTTGGCTATTATCTAAGTCAATGTGGCCCCCATTGATATGGTCCAGACTTGTATAGTCCAATCCTACGCTGCTCTGATTAGCGTAGCTTAGGCCAACCAGATTGTGATCCAATTTGGTGTGGCCCAAGTCTACAAGGCCTAAGCTTGCATAGTCCAAATTTACAAGCCTGAAGCTAAGGAAGTCTCCACTAGTGTAATTACTTAGAAAGCTATTGCTTAAAAGAGCTCCATCTTATATAATAATGAGATCATTTCAAATTCATATGTTTCAAGTTTAGGCACTATTTTGATACTATGGCATCTTCAATTAGAGTATTTTAATCATTTTTGCAAGCAACATATAGCATGCCATCACCTTCCTGTTGAATTATTTTTATTAATAAATAATTTACCTTTTTGTAAAAGTTGTGTTTTTAATAAACATAGTAACACACCTTCTTTCAAAACACTTACCACACATGCAACAATATTATTGAACTTGATCCATTCCAATCTTTGTGGTTCTAAGATTATTCTTTATTTTAGAAAGACTTATTATTTCTTAGTATTTATGAATAATTTCTTTTGCTTCAGAACAATTTTTTTTTTCAAAAAGAAATTTGATGTTTTTTCTCTTTTTCAAAATATCATCGCCATATTACCACCTAATTTGGCAAACCATTATTAATACTTTGGATAGATAATAGTGAAGAATTTATAAGTAATGATTTTTCTACTTATTGTGAGCTTCATAGTATTATTTGATATTTTACAATTCTTTATACTCCTCAAAATGGTATAGTTGAGTGTAAAAATCAGTCTCTTATCACTTTGGCCTACACCATGTTACATGCAACCAATTTCAATACTAATTATTGAACCTAAGTTATTTTTATTACTTTTTATTTACAAAATTTATCTTATCACTCTTTTTTGTTGGATATTACTTCCTATGAAAGGTGGACCAATCTTAAACCAAACCTCTATCATTTAAAAGTTTTTGGATATTTAGCTTTTGTTAAAAAATCTAATGCAAACTACAAAAAACTTAATCTTCCTACTTATTGATGCTTATTTCTTGGCTATGCTAAATTTCTTGGAATTAAAGGCTATTAAGTTTATGATTTAGAAATTCATAAATTCTTTATAAGTCAAAATGTGATCTTAAATGAAGTTTCTATATTCAAACCTATTCCTTCTATAGAGTCTCTTCTTCTCTTAGAAGAGGTAAACAATCTTACCATACTATCTATTGTAGAGCACATACTATTATCTAATCTACTAAGATGACTACAAGCACTCCATACACCATTTACAACACCAAAGGTGGCTCTCATAGTCACTTCACCTTCATTGGTCACTCCATTGATCCTACAAGATGTATCGATCATTTTCACAATTCACATATATCACTTGAATCAATGCCAGAGTCTCTTCTTTCCTATCTAAATAATCCTCTTTCATTGCCAACTTTTAATTTAGGACTTCTACTCTTTAAGGATCTTGGTGGTCATAACAAGGCTACTTCAATAGACGTGCTCAAAGTTTCTTCACCAATGTGGTTGTTGGCCCTTCTAATTCTATATTCAATTCATCTAACCTTTCTTCAATTGATCTTCTATGAAATTCCTTAAAAGAGAAACTACTTTGACAATCTACTCAGATTACTTGTGGGACTTGGAAAGCATCTAAATTTAATGAAACTACCTTATATGTTAGTGGATTTCTTGCCACCTTAACAGATCCACTTTCTGATCGTAAAGCATTTATAAGTGAAGATGTCTTCCATTAATACTTAACTATAAATATATATATATATATATATATATATATATATATAACTCTGTAATTAAAAATAATACATGGAATTTGGTACCTCGCCTTCTTAATTACTCTATTAAGAGCATTAAATGGCTATTCTATTGGAAATATAATTTTGATGGTTTTTTAGCACTCTTTAAAGCATGGTTTGTTACTTGGGATTTTTTGCAACAAAAAAGCCTTGATTATCATGAGACTTTCTCTCATGTCATTAAAATGACATTGCTTTGTCTTCTCTTTACTTTAGTTTTTCATTACAACTTTTATATTTGTGAAATGGATGTCACTATAGCCTTCTTAAATTGGGCTCTTAAAAAAAAAGATTTACATCATTCAACCCAAAGGCATTATTATACCTAATGATAAAAATAAGATATGTGATTTACTTAAATTCTTATATGAATTAAAACAAGCTCCTAATATATGGTATGATCTCTTTGATGATTTTTTAGTTGCTAATGGATTTTTAAAATATATTTTGGATATCAATGTTTATTATAAATACTTATTTATATTTTTTATCTACTTTAGACTTTACATTGATGATCTAGTTTTAATTTCAAATGATTTATCATATCTCATTTCAATTAAAGTACTCTTCTCTTCATATTTTTCTATGATGAACAACAATAAAATTGAATGCATCTTAAGTATTCAAATTTATTGTAATTGTGCAACCTCTACTTTAATTCTTTCTCAAAATAAATATATATTAGATATATTAAATTAATTTTCTTTATATAATTGCCATGCCATTTCTACTCTTCTTCAGGCCAATATTCACTTTTTTCTAGGACATAGTCTTTGTCAAAAATCATTTGGCACAATTTATGGCTAAGCTAAATACAATAAACTGGATGATTTTAAAGGGCATACTTGATTATTTAAAAAGAATTCAAAATTTTGGACTATGTTATTTAAGTTCTTCTTCTACATCTTCATGACAACTTTATGGTTGGAGTGATGTAAATTATATAGGAAATTTAGATGCTCAAAAATCTACTTTTGGATACTTGTTTTTATTTTAGTTCATTTCTTTTGAATTGGCATTCTAAGAAATAAGTCAAGGTAGCACAATCAAGTACAAAAGTGGAATATATTGTGGTGGCAACAACTTTAAAAGAATTGATATGGCTTCGAATTCATTTCAAAGAAATTAGACATTAAGTAACATTACCAAGCACAATTTATTGTGATAATCAATCATGTATTGTATTGATACAAAATCCACATTTTGATGATTGCATGAAACATATTGATATCAAGTACCATTACATTCAAAAAAAAGTAAAGGCAAATGAAGTTGTCTTAGAATTTATACCTAAAAATGATATGAAGATGGATATAATGATGAAGTCATTGCCAAAGCCCAAGCACAACAACTTCATAAAAGATTTAATCAACATCAACAATTCAAATATAAACTAGTCTATGATGATTATGGAGGGGTGTTAAATTTATTAATATACACATGTTAGTAAATATAGAATTACCTTTAGGTAGTTACAAAGTAGTTATGAAGAAGTTATTACTACGCTCCAGTAGACAATATAAAAGGCTCTCATCATTTTAATGTAATCAAGTTATTTTATTAATATACATCATGCTTTATTTTATCATTCGTAGTGTTCTTTCTCTTACAAGAACAAACTTCAAAGCAAAAGCAATTGTTGAAGTTGTGATCAATGACATATGCTGATGAGTCTGAATGACGGTGTTAAGACAACACATTGGCAAAGTCAAGAATTATTATCGCAACAGACTGCTAGCCCATGATTCTGTATCCCATTACCAGGCAGTTTTGAGGTTCCATGCCTCGCACCTGCCCATTCATTAAAACTTCTACGAGCCTAATCCAACCATTGTAGCAGCTTTAAGTTCTCTAGTTCTGCAGACTTGAAGTGGAACTGCAGTTTCGTATTCATTAAAACTTCTACGAGCCTAATCCAACCATTGTAGCAGCTTTAAGTTCTCTAGTTCTGCAGACTTGAAGTGGAACTGCAGTTTCGTATTCATTAAAACTTCTACGAGCCTAATCCAACCATTGTAGCAGCTTTAAGTTCTCTAGTTCTGCAGACTTGAAGTGGAACTGCAGTTTCGTATTCATTAAAACTTCTACGAGCCTAATCCAACCATTGTAGTAGATAATGTTGTAGAGTTTTAACGGTAGAGGACTCCATTGTGATGAAAATTCTTATTAAAAGCTCTGTAGTGTCGCATACATATTCCGAATCAGAATGTATCAACACAGGTTTGAAGAATGAGCTTAGATCACCGCAGATGTGAAGATCTCATCTGGGCTGCTTTAATGGAAAATATTGGGTCAGACTTCTTGTCAACATCGTCACCTCCAACCAGGAAAGGAACTCCCCACCCATTCAGCCAGACCACAACAACACTTTACGTATTCAGTGGGTGCATGGTATTGTGAAGGCAGCAGGGACTTCAACTTCGCTGTACAATGAAAAAGGCAACTTCGTGAGACATTGAGAAATTGGATGCAAATATAGATATATACAAACACACATAGACAAGTGGAGCACACTGCGTGACAGTCATAAGAATCAGTGCTACCCTTTGAATCTCTCCGGCTCGGAGCGCAAATATTATCATCAGTTCGATTGTGCAGCTCTCCTCACGCGCATGTTGGCGCTACACTATCTGATGATTGTACAGAGATAGAATAGTGTAACAGCCTCTGCTCAAAGATTGCGCAACTGCACCTGGAATCATATCGCTCGGTGAATGCACTATTTCTATTTGTCTTCGACCTCAACAGGTAGGCTACAACCCAGTGATGAAGCACCTAAAGAATATCGGTAGTTATTATGTGTTCCACTTCATTGGTCAGAGCATTTAGCGCGAAAAAAGGTTGAAATTTTATATTCATATATATATATATACACACACATAATCACAGATTGGGCGAAAAACCCAATATTTTGATAAGTGTTAAGATTGTTGCAGGAAGAAATACATACCATTATTAGTACGTTCCAGATTCAATGCAAAGGCAGAGGGCGGACACATACTTCGCAACAATTCTGAAAAGGTGGATGAGCTTGTAGATTGCAAGAAAAAAGTACTCTTTCATGTCCACCCTGATTGATATATATATATATATATATATATATATATATGTCTCAACCCACACCACAGAATGACAACCCACGTAGCCGTTCCTCATTCCTCTTTCTAACTTGATAACTTAAAATTGATCATAACCAGAGTTCTCATCTGTCGGTAAACGTCAATAGCAGCAGTTTAGCTACAATTTTAAGTGTCCGCACCATGGAGTTATTTGTTGCTAGATAATTGGTGCTGGATAATTGGCCTGGCTTGGAAACCTCTTAGAACAGCTAACAATTTGCAGCGACAACGTTCGCAAATTTTCAATTTTGCTTGACAGAGTTACATGTCGTGAAAATACACGTTGTAGCTATCTACAATTAACTTTCACTTACGAGTAAAACCCATGTCATCAATAACATATGGAACAATGGTTTACGTAACATCTAGGGACAGTTTCTTACACTAAATTAATAAGACATCAACCTGTAAAAAATCCCAAAGATCAACTAATTGAATGCGCCGATTGAATGGTATAGGTATTTTCTTGTAGTCATTCCTCTGTCAGACAAGTAAGGAGGATAGTCGCATCCTTACAAAGCCTCAAAGAGTATGCTTGCCAATTGTAGCCAAAGAAAAATCCTTAAAGTGTGAGAGCTAGAGGTTCGATCCTCCGTACCAAGATATCATGAATTTGGGTGTCAATGCAAACCGTAGGTCTGTGATGACTACTGAGTTCTCCTGATCCTGCTTTGCACCCCATCCATCAGCAAATGGAACGCATAAGTTCATAGACACGCTCACTCCTTGCTGCTCATCCTGGACGCCTGTGTGCATCCTCTCACCGTCCATCCCAGGTGGACCATACTGCACATCGCCACCAACCACGACTGATCAGACAACAGAAGTTTCAAGTTTAATCTCCCTGGAGATGGAGTGTCACCACTTTGAGAGAAGAAAAATGGAAGTGAACATTGGGATTTTAGAGAGCATACCTCAACAGTGGCCAACTCAGCTGGATAAGTTCTCACAGCACGCGTACAGTGCCACGCTATCTCCAGTCCGGGGTCCCAGAGTGTGAAATCCAACATAAAGACACCGCGAAGCTCACCAGAGAATACTTCCGTTCGCCACGGCGATGTCAGGATCCCTGGGAACACCTCATGCTGTATAGTTTCGTAGTAAGTCATACACCAATACCAGGCAAGTTAATGTCTGCAGGCAAAACTGACAGTATAGTTCCCACGAAAACAATTCCTTCACAGCTTGCACATTGCTAAGTTATACGAAACTTCACTTTACATATCTGTGTCGTCGTTTACAAAATCCTGATAATTTGTAGTATAATCCAAATCGTCTTTCAAAATCATTACTTCCAAGTATGATGACACGCTAAAGCTCTTCCAGATGGTACTATCTACGACTTAGCAATATATCGTGCTCCGCTAAAACCAATTCTCAGAAATGAGGTCAGACAACATGTAGATGGTTTGTGAAGGACACATACAGATGAGATTAGCAAAAACACGGCTGTTTGGCCAGGTATCGATTCTCGTGGGCTCCGGTACACCTGCAACAAAGGACCATGATAACATTCCAGTGATTAATAGCAGTAAATTCCAGACAACTCAACCAGTATTCTGAAACAGCTAAACAGCTAAGTCATTTTCAATTTAATGCAGATCAATTGTATGAGAAAATAAGGTAACCGAGGTTTCGTTTTTATGATCATCGGTTCATCTGAGTGCGCCAATTCCTTTAAATATAATAAATTTCTTTGCATGCCTCTGATGTTCTGAAAGGACAACAGACGAAGAAAAAAATATTATCACCAAGTCCTTAGCTACTCACTTGACGCCCTACATCATACCTGGCGAAATTCTTGCTTCCATAGGAGTTTGCCAAAAGTATGAAGCTCGATACTTGCATGCAAGTTATGTAAACCTGTCATTGTAACACCATCCTTCAGGTATTTGCTGCGGAAGAGTACAGTCGAAACCAGTAACTTTTCTCTACCCAGTGGTTTAAATCAATAGGCTATATGAGATAAACGGCCAAGCCATTAAACCCACATTACTAAAACTGCACGTTCAAACCAATCTAATGCACATTTTAGGGCGAGTTTCAGGAGAGGCCTCTTAAAAGCTTTTACCATACATAATAGCCCGTGTTGTATCTGGATTAATGCAACCGATCCAATCTGCATTAGTATAAGACTTTTAGAATTAAAGGGAATTACAAATATACTAAGTGGCATCATACCGTAAGCAGGATCCAAGCGATCGTGAAATATACGACGCGAAATCTGAGGTGTGGCACCATCTCCAAGCTCCATCATGGTCCATATGAGATCGCTCAGATGCAAGCTAACCATAAGAAGTAGTACCTGTTCCTCACCATGTTCTTCAATGCTAAACCCATCAATTCCGTGCATGCCTTCAAACAATGTACCTATAATTAAGGACGTGCTATGTTTTGGAGCATGCTGCAACAACCGCAGAGGTCCAGAATTATGCCCTTCCCTCGACAGCATCTCAAACTGTCCGCCACTCTGCATGTTTGGTAAAGGTAAAACTTGATTCTGTATCAAAGCATGAAACTAATGCTAGCAAAAAATACACGAACAGAGTTAAGATTGAAGATATCTGTGAATTTTGAGACTTGACTGTGTATCAGAAAAAAGCCCCAAAATAGTGGCTGATTTCCAAAACCTACAGAAGACAGAAAAGCGAAGAGAATAACTACGAAAGATATCCAAGAAGTGTTGTAGTGAGGATTTCGTTGAGGAGCCAACTGCTGACCTTGGGAATCATGAAAGTACGACATTCACAGTGATCTACACCTACTCATCAGAAATTTAAGTTGACGGCAAGTAGACCAATATACAAAGACTTTAAGGATACAAAATTTGCAATTGTACATGAGTGCCGTAGGAGCCTATCGCTTGTTGCTGTTACCTGCGCCAATCAACCAACATAGACGTTATTTATAAACTTCTCCCCTTCCATTTTAAAACACTCTAGATTCCTATAGACTGGCAATGTTCTGTATATACAGTAGGTCACCACTGGGTTTCACAAATAGTACAAATTTTAAAGAATTTAATGCAGGAATATTACTTACTTTGAAGGAATTTACGGACTTAAGGCTGAGGCCAGTCTTTGTGGTTTTTGTGGAATATCGCAAGAGACAAGATCCAGGAAAGTAAACCACAGAACCCTTACCTGTCCGCCATCACAGAGAAAAAGCCGTTACAAGGTGTTAATCAGAGCTAATATACACAGCAGCAACACCCGAATAGAAAAGTTCTAAAGGGTCTTCAAAGTAAAGAAAGAAAGATTCCTTTCACGTGCCTTTCAGTCGAATAACTGGGTCTCGATTAATTTGTACATGAAATGTAAGTCCCAACTGATCCACGATTTTTCGCATCGCAGCCCCAGGCATACAATCCCTAACTGCAAAGACAGAAACCGTACTGAAAACTTACGTAATCAAGGTGAATAAACCAGCACGATCATACACGGTGGAAAACATTTGAGTGGTGGATTAGTCAACCAAATTGACTCGTTCGAGACAGCCTAGATGTATCATTGGAAATGCACATGAAGGGGCATCCCTGTGAAGTTTCATTGTTGATGTTATGCTATGTAACAGAACAAAATCCATCTCCATCACTTAGTGATATTCTTGAAATTGCAAAACGACTCAACCAAGTGTTTAAAGATCATTGAAAACCAGAAAGTGACTAACCTTGTTTCCCTCGCCTGTCAGGCATTCTACGGACATGAAGCCAGCCTGCATTCACGCTATGAGTAATTACTTCGGATCGAATCTTCCGCTTCTGTACGCACATTGGTACGTTATCAGTTTATCTGAATAACAAATCCTGCAAATCTGGGTCTGCTGCTAGCTATATTTCTAAGTTGTACAGAAATCAAATATTGGAAACTAGCAAGAAACAGGCTAACCCCTTCAGTATATTTATCTTTGAAAGCATCTCTCCAAGTATCAAATCCTGAGGGCATCCTAGTTGTCTGAGATGAACCACTTGAAGCTCCATTATCTTCCTCTTGATGCCACCACCTTAGGTAGAAAGCTCTCCAGATCTACATAAAAAATTATTGGGTGTGATTAGTTTTCATAGTCTTCACGTCGAGATTCGAGAAGATGAACCATTTGCATGCTATACAAGATGAAGAATTACAGCATCGAAATCCCATACGCAAACGAAAACCTCCAATAACATCATGAGGCATTTCCCACCACAACACCCTCGCGTAATTTTTTATTTTGAGAACTGCAACAAGGTGAACAGCCAGATAATAATTTGCTGAAAATATGAGGCCTATACCAACGTTGGCCCTATTAACAATTACATTCAAAAGGCTACCCTGAGCTTACCACATCAGAAAACGCCGCTGCTCTCCAATGCCGACAGACTTGAGCACAAGAGACAACGTGGTACACAGACTGTAGTTTTTCAAGGCACAGGCAAAGAGAATCCAAAGGCAAATCCTGAGCAATTGCTTGCACTTCTGTGTCTCGTGTCGCACTTTTCTTCACCTTTTCATCAACACGAATCTTACTGGAAACATGTCGAAATCTACTTTTCACGACATCCGCTTCCTTCGTAGTAATTTGTTTCCCAAGTGAACTCGCAGTGGACTGCTTACACACAGAGACACGCCGACTGGGATTCTTCTGAGTTGAAGATTTGCCCGAACCCTGCTGGTCTAGACTTGCTCTTCTGTTCGGTAAATTCGGCGAAGTTTGCTGACCCAGACTTACTCTTCTATTTGGTACATTCGGTGAAGATTGCTGGCCTACACTTGCTCTTCTGTTTAGTACATTCGGTGAAGCTTGCTGATCAAGACTGTTTCTTCTGGTTAGCACCTTCGACGGAGCAGCAGTTCTTCTGCTCAGAACCAGATAAGTGGAACAATTCTATCAAGGTCTTCCTTACAAGATACTGACAAAAAAAACACTTGATATTGTATGTCAATACAATCATGATCCTGATGAATGATTGACCCGCCCTAAATGAACGCCAGAACCTAACCATGACCTCCACATTAATACATCACGAAGAAGAACGATTCAGGTTGTGTACAAAGAGCCACAAGATCTTCATGAAAGATGCCCTTTCCAGCATTGAAGGATTTTACACAGAGTTCGAAATTACCTAGATGTAGGGTGAGGAAGAGTGTTATCTAAGCTGCGCATACTGAGAGATTCATCGTCATCCACATTGCTTCGGCTGGAGCTGCTGGGTGCAGTGCTAGACCTAGAGCGTGATAATCGTAATTGTGGTTCGACCTTCTTCATCTTCCAATCCCCTTCTTCTTCATAAAGCTTATACTCCCAATGTCGAAGTGAGAATTCGCATACAGTTTTGACCACTCGTATATCAAAAATAGATGTATTCGAAAACTGTTCAGCCAGGGTTAATGCAAGGATCAGTTGGGAAAATGCGCACTAAATTGTTCAACTTGGAAATTAACGAAGAAATAATTCTTGCTAATCGACATGTGCAGCTCTCTTCAGTGCGTATGATCTGGCGATCATTGCTCAATTTAAATGAACAATCTGGTCTACTCACGTTTATCTCGCTTACAGAAGAATCCATCTTACGCCCTCACTGCCCGAGTCTCAAAAATGACAATTACACGCTTATGAGACAAGACAGGGAAAATTTCGAGAATGCCAACTGCCTTGTTCCCCAAAAAGGAAGAAGAAGCAGAAGCAGAAGCAGGAAAAGTTTATCTTTAATCGGCATATCAACTCCGACCTTACTACAGCTAGCGTGAGGGAGAAGCTACATCGAAACAGAGTGGGTGACGATGCAAGAGACACTATCAAACCGCATAACCCACCTACAGATCCTTCACATAGAAACAAACAACGAAGAATAAGATAATCAATCCCATTTCTGCATCTACAGCTAACAATCAATTCATACCCGTAAATGAACCCACTTACCGCAGACAATCTCAATCACGAACTGCCCCAAATCAAACTTTAGCGTCCCAAAACACAGCGAAGCTCTTTTCCCTTGCGTCTGATTCCCCTAGTTTGGTCACCTCCGAGAATCCGAATTTGTGAGTGAAGCTGCAATATGGTTGCCCAACCCACAAGTAAGCAATGAGTGCGGTGATCAATTCAAAGGTGATGCAGCTACAATACCTGGCACCCCTAAATGAGCGATTATGGTAGAATCCTCCGCACGATCACCAGACGCAGCCCCACACGAGGGAAATTGGGACAACAGGGTGGGTAAGATCTGCAAGCAAATGACACACATGTCGATGCCCAAAGTCTCCATCTGCCAAGTCGACGAAAGTCTATACAATGTCCACATTCATGCATAGCAACTGGCCTTCGTTACAAACTGTGGTCCTCCAGCGGAAGAGAAACAGTCATTTCGTTCATCTCATCGACGAAGAATTGATTCCGTGTGCTCTGTTGAAAAGCCTCAAATTACACAAGAATTGTATTAATTCTGTTGAGCTGAGAAGAGAGAGAGTATTGCAGGTACAAGAATTTGCCTGCTGCTGCAAGAATCGCTAGGCTCTTAGACCTCGGAAGAAGCGCGCTGAGGAGGCCTTGTCGTAAGCCAGGAATGAAATAATGACGGTTGACAGGACGGACTTTTGCAGGTGGTGGGGGAGAAGCCGAGAGTGTCAAGGAAAAAGCGTCCATTGCGTAGAGGATAGGTATCTCTGATCTCGCTGAGGAGGGTTGTGAATTCTGATCATCGGAATTGCGCCAACTGTGGTTTAGGGAAAAACGCAGCCACTCCCTCTAGAGTTTTAACCCGAAGCCTAGTCCACACATTCTCATCTAACACAATTGGCTCACTTCCTTGGTAAAATCTGTGGAATGAGGAGTTCTAGATACCGGCAATCCTTCCTCTTCGAATACACTACAAAATCAAACTAAAAAAGTAAAAACGAAGGAGAAAATCCAATGGGCGTTTGGCGAATTGTAACAACGGGTACAGGTCCGTTGAGGCAAATTGCCTGCAGCGAATTGGGACAGTCGCTGAAACTACTTAATGTGTCCACCTCACAGTTAATTCCCCTCCCATGGTTTCATACTTCCAATCGCAGTAGACGTGACAATCCAGACATGACTGCACAGCGACGAGGCAGAAGCTGCACGCTCATCGACCGACACTTTCAATCTCAACAACTGTAACAATTAACCTCCCTCTGCGTCGAATTCACCACTCTAAGTTGACAAAACGTGCACCGTAAGCAAGCAAACACCGCACCATCAACAACGATGACCCACAACCGGAATCCTAACACCGAGAGCCTGTAATCGCTCCAACAACCCCCAAACACTTTGCTGTGAGCCAAGTGACTATGACACATTCTTGTGAATTCACCACATTGCACGCAATCTCCCTTCACCTGTATGGGATTGTAGCCATCACTTCAGCTTCACAATAAGAGGAGGAGGAGAAAAAGCGGCCCCATAAAAGCCCCGTGAGTGGTCCCAGCACAACTGACAAAATTGGTCGCGTGAACCAACTTCCACTCCCAGCTTGGAACTTCTGACGCTCCAGTCCAAAGCCAAAGATTATTCGTACGATGAGCATTGGACGAACAGATCATAGCAAACCATCCCTACAGGGGTTGGCGTTACGATGCTGTCGTCGAGCAAATAATTCTGGCAATTTTCCGCGATGATGAATGGCAGCATGGACGCCGTCGACGCCGAGGACACTGTGGAATCTGAGGAGGAGGCCACATCTTCCTGCAAGACCTTGCTCTTGGCATCTAGTTCATGAAACAAGCTGCACACAATTTATGCAGACAGTGTGGTCATGTTTGAGAGCCCGTGCTCGGTGACTCTGTGTGTGTGTGTGTGTGCGTTGAGAGTGTGGGATTTGCCATTCTGTCGTATGTGGTGAAGGTCCTTGAGTCAAACTTGTATTTTTTCTGAAGAAATTAGTGATTGTGAATGTGAATGAAGTGTCGAGGAAGAAAAGTTACAAGTTTGCTTGTGGGTCTTTGCGCGCTTAGTTGTCTTGTCCTTACTGTGAATTCAATTGGTGAATACATGAAGATTATCTTAACAACTTCGGGTTTCAGTAAAACTTTCAATGGTGTTTCTATGCAGTAAACAAATGATGATGCGATTTTTTTTCTTTTGGAGTCTACGTTTTACAAACTACAACATTCAAAACGTATTGTTAGTTGTTACCAAATAATACGGTGACAAAGTCTTACATTAAAGTTGAAAAGAGTGTAATGATTTGTGAAAATGATCTCCGTTCAGTGCAAGGACTTCATCATGTTGAGGTAAAAGATAAGGCAGTATTCAAAAAAGAATTTGGTAACTAGATTGTCAAAACCAAACGAAGGAATTTGTGGCAAAAAAAAATTATTAATAAAGAATATATCTATATATATATGGCCCTAAATATGAGTGTATACATACATAAATACATACAGACAGTGAGTTCAATAAAGGTGTGAAGTCCCTCAATTCAAACACCAAATTATCCGATTTCTATTAAAGTTAGATATTTACTGCTGATTTATCTAGGTACTCAAGAATAAATACTGATTTCTATAAAAATGATGGATTTTCTTATATTTTATGAATAATTCTACAACTGAGCAATTAGGTGTGACCAGTAACTGATTTCCAGGCCTAATTCTACTGCCCATATGGAACATTGATTGAAGGTTTTCTTTTTTTTTTTTTTTTGTTATTTCTTTAGAAGATAAAATATCAAAATTGAATACATTCTTACAAAATAAAAATGTATAATAAAAATAAAAATAAATTATCTGACAGACAAATGGTGTTTTAGATGATAAGAAGAATGATATTAATAAGTCAGTAAATTTTAATCTTAATTATTTAAAATTCCACAAAACTTCAAATTTTATATAAAGTAATTTTTACTATGGACAAGTAATTTAAATGTTTTATATGGTAGTGATATAGACAAGTATTTTAAGAGTTATATATAGAAATAAAAAGAGTAATATGTATATATATATATATATATATACATAAGTGAAAGATGAGTGTTACTCGTCTTATTTATTACTTGAATTGACAAGGAGTATGAACTTGATGCCAAATTGCATATGCATTAACAAAGACAAAGTAGTTTAATGAAGGTAGAAGGTATGTTATAATAGGCTTTGACAAAATGTTTGAAATTCTCTCTCTCTCTCTCTCTCTCTCTCTATACATATATATACATACATACATATATATAATAAAAATATATTCTTAAAATCTAGTTCATGTTAATATGAAAGCAATAACATCAAACAAATTTGGTGCTTAAAATAATAGACATTTGTAGCAAGTTTGGAGGTTTAAGTGAATTGAATGGTTGTTGAGAGAGATTTATAATATAAATTACAACTAATTAGTAAAAAAATTGTACCCTAGAAATAAAGTACATCAAGAAGAGCAATATAAAAGTTGAGAATATAATAATTATTGTTTTTATCCTATTGTACAAATTTTTGAATATGATGTTAATAAAGTCTATAAGAGTAACATTGTTCAACCTCTATACCATTGCCATCAAACTTAAGGCACTTATTTATAGGTGCATAGACACAATTATTGTTCTAATCAAGTATCTAATAGAAAATATTATAAAAAGAAAGAAAAATTGAGTAAGTATAAGTTTTGATGGCAGACTTATGTTATAAAACCAACACAATTTTCATATAATCTAGCACTACAATGGACCTTATATATCTTCCAATTGGTAGTAAGTCATTGTCAACCAAAAAAAATTATCTCTCTTGTAATATCAGCAATTTACTTCATGTTTTAAACTAAAATTGACCAAGTACATGTATTACTTTCCTTATTAATATTATGCCTAAGAGTAGTTCTTAAAAAGGAAAAAATTAAAATTAAAAATAGATCTACAAGGATAAATTTAATGCAAATTTTTAATAAATATTTTATTTTCAAAATCCTCTTATGTGTTCTAAAGTATACTCGTTGATTTTTGTAGTAAATACGAAAGTATATTCTATAAAATTCTATTATAAAATTTTAATAAAATAGTTAAATGAAAATCATGAAAGATTACGACTTAGGGGTTCTACAAATTGTTTTGTATTGAATGTTGATGAAAACTAAATACATGATCTATAAAATAGCATTAGAAGTTAAATACCAAGTTTTAGAATATTTAGTAACTTGCAATAATTCAAATTTAATATTTTGTGTAAAATTTATTTTAGAATATTTATTCTATAAATATCTAAAGTATTTAAAAACCATGCTTTCACAATTACTTGTAGCTTCTTCTAGAAATAAACAACAAATAAAATTAAAAATAAAAATAAAAATAACTATGTAGACTTTTAACGTTCTTAGTATCAACTCAAATATTGTCAAGGGCTCTCAAATATTTTATTTTATATATTCTATATTTTTAACTATATTAATTCTTTATTAGATTTTTTTGGTTTAAATTCTATTAATAGATAAAATTGATAAAAAAAAATAAGAAAGACTTGAAGAAAGAAAAAAGAAAAATAAGAGCTTGAATGCTTTTCTAGATTATACCATTTGACTTAAATTCAAACATACAATTTTATTTTTCATCCCAAATTTTCCATTTTTTCCTATTTCTTATCCTCTCTTGCTTTTCTTGACTATTTTTCCTAACCCTAACTAATCAAGGTTTGGTCCTAGCTTTTATTATGTCTATTTTATTATGCTAATTTAGTAGAAATGATATTTCTATTTACCAGTTTATTTTAATAATATTAAACTTCAACATCTTTTATTTTCTTTGTAGATTCTAATCATGTTTTAAGATAACTTTTTTATCAAGGAATTTAAACATTCATAATAAATATGATTCTATATTTACCATCTTTGTTTTAATGTTTAAATATTATATTTAGATTTTTATTTTTCTAAATAACCTATACTAAGAAAAATACACCTAAAACTCCATATTACACAAATTTAAAGAGAAAACTTCAAAATACATAAATAATAATAATAATAATAATAATAATAATAATCTTATTATATTATTGCAATGCATAAATATATGGAATGATATTTTTTTTCTTTCTGAAATTTTTGATTAAAGTTTTAATACTTTATTGTAAGTTTTTTTTTAAGTTGTAGAAATTGCTTGAATTAATTTATTAACTAATCTTATTTGAGTTATTGAATTGTTCCTTGTATAATAATGGATCAAATATTCAAGTGCATTGGATGTGTAAATTTTATGAAAATTAACATAATAATTGAAACTAATCAAGTCTATAATTCATTAGAAATAAAAATCACAATAGAAATTAATTTTTAAAGTTATATGACAAATGTCGAATTTATTTGAGTGATAGAACAAAGATGTTCAATGTCCAAGTGGTATGCATTTGTTGCAAAATATTTACTGATTGTAAGTTACTGTTTATTTTCTTTAAAGGACTAAAGTGGTACAAAGCTCATATAAAACAAATTCATAGTTTTTATTTATTTTAGTCTTATTATTATTACTACTAATGAAACTTATTTATAATGCAAGCATATGTCTTTATAAGAAGTATATAGTTAGTTTATTCTTTTTCTACTACAACATAGAAAATACAATTTATATTCATCCATCTATTAATTGGTTACTTTAATCATAATAAGATTAATTCGAGTGCTCTTGCAATAGTTATTGTAACATGCTTTGTAAAAACACATAAAATAAGAGCAACCAAACTACAAGAAATCTTTGTAATAGTAATTATTATTAATTAAAAAATACAAAATTTTGATATGTACTTAGTTGAGACAAATATCTGATATATTTATTTATATGCATATATGTGTAGAAAAAAAATTGAATGTGCTTTAATAAAAAAAATGATGAATATTAATTGAAATAATAAAAAATAACATACCAAAAATATAGGTATGTATATATATATATATATATATATATATATATAGGGGAAAATGCTAAGTGATCCAAATTTTTAATAAATCAATCCACTCTAAATGAAGAATCATGGCACCTTTGTCCCTATTTTCCTTGCTCTCATGTTCTTAGCCTTTGTCCATGTTTTTAATCCCTCTTCTTCTAGCTATGATCCACTATTCTCATAGCACTACTAAAAAAAAAAAAACTCCTTCAATAATGTTCATCTTACTCTCCTCATTCTAATACCATAATCCAATGTTTATTCTAACATTCTTAGCTTTTGAAGGCTTTATGATACCCTCTCCATTGTCAATCCTTCTACATCATCTCATCCATCATTTCTCTCACACCTCCTCTTTCATACATCCCTTGCCCCTTGCCATGCTCCATCTCATTGCCTCTTCTTATGTCATGCATCCTCCTCACCCTCAGCTCGGTCATTGAACATGGCTGATTTAGGTCACTCTTGGTGCTTAGGAA